AACCTGGGTCAGTTAGGAGCACTGCACAAAATATGACGCTTTGTCACTCCCAAAATTTTGTTGTCTGAGGTCACAATTTTCCTTCCAAAACAACAGATCATTCAGTCTTACTAATAATAAAGGGTCACTAAAGGGTCAGACGCATGAAAAACACAACTCCTGGTACGTTTGTGAGGTGGTAACAGCATTATGATATGACTTAACTCTCCCAAGACATTTTGACAGTTACAGACATGTCCACTCTGTTTTTCATGGTCAGTGCCGCAAACCGAGGCAGAAGATCCAAGCGTTCCTCAAACAGAACCTCCCCAAACGTCTGCACTTCGCCCACAGCCGAAGAATCGAAGACGTCTCCGTCCTCGTCACAGCACAGTGGCTCTTTGAGAGGTAGACATGTGATAGACCTGGTTTAGACCTGGTTTAGACCTGGTTTAGACCTGGTTTAGTCTTGGTTTAGACCTGGTTTAGACTTGGTTTAGACTTGGTTTAGTCCTGGTTTAGACCTGGTTTAGACCTGGTTTAGACCTGGTTTAGACTTGGTTTAGTCCTGGTTTAGACCTGGTTTAGACCTGGTTTAGACCGGGTTTAGACTTGGTTTAGACCTGGTTTAGTTCTGGTTTAGACCTGGTTTAGATTTGGTTTAGACTTGGTTTAGTCCTGGTCTAGACCTGGTTTAGACCTGGTTTAGTCTTGATTTAGATCTGGTTTAGTCTTGGTTTAGACCTGGTTTAGTCTTGGTTTAGACCTGGTTTAGTCCTGGTTTAGACTTTGTTTAGTCTTGGTTTAGACCTGGTTTAGACTTGGTTTAGATCTGGTTTAGTCTTGGTTTAGACCTGGTTTAGACCTGGTTTAGACCTGGTTTAGTCTTGGTTTAGACCTGGTTTAGACCTGGTTTAGACCTGGTTTAGACCTGGTTTAGACCTGGTTTAGACTGGGTTTAGACCTGGTTTAGACTGGGTTTAGACTTGGTTTAGACCTGGTTTAGTTCTGGTTTAGACCTGGTTTAGATTTGGTTTAGACCTGGTTTAAAACTGGTTTAGACCTGGTTTAGTCTTGGTGTAGACCTGGTTCAGTCCAGGTTAATTGTAAATTTTAACTCATGACTCAGAGAGGATCTAGTCTGTGGTCTGGTCTCAGAGTGGGTCCAAATACCTGGATCTAAGGAGGTCTTTGTGTGAGGCGAGATCCTAATAAGAACCAGACCTGACCATAAATCAAGAGATACCATTTAATCCCTGTAAAATCTCAACCAGGACTGAACCAGGACTGAACCATTACTGAACCAGAAGTGAAACCTTGACTGAAAAAGAAGTAAACCAGGAGTGAACCAGATCTAAACCAGATCTAATCCAGGACTCTTTTGCAGATCTCCTGGATCTCTGACCTTTTGTTCTGGAGGGAATCACGGTTATGACAACGACGTGGAGAGCATGCACGTGAGAACACATGATTATTACTCATGATAATGCATGTTCTGCTCCTGTCTACACTCACAGTCGCCTCACAGCAGTGTCCATGAGCATTAACACGCAAAGGTTCAAATTTACTTTCACGTATGTCTCTGCTTTCTATTTTCTTTTTATCTGAATTCAGAGTGTTGAGTGCTCCCTCAGACTGTACAGAGGAGTGGGTCATCACCACACACTCTACATACTGTACGTTAGGGGTGTAACAGCACAACACAAATCTCATGGTTCAGGACGTACCTCGGTTTTGAAGTCACGGGTCGGTTCATTTTCGGTACTGAATAAGAACAAAATGCAAAACCAACAATTAGTTTTAATGTTATACAATTGGGAAAATTCCATGCCAGCGAAAGGCAAAAGTGAGGACCGAGGATTCACGTGGTCGGGGCCGGGGGGCACTTGTTGTCAAGGCGGCCGCCCAAACTATAACTCTTTTCACCATGAAGACGACATTTGACGACCCCCCACGTACCCTTAGTGACGTGTTTTTACACCTCTGCTGTGAAGACATGATTTGACGACCATTAGAAATGGTTCCTGTTTTTCACACGTAAACAGAGGCTGCGATGAGTTGAATAAGCTAAATGGAAAACACAAATTAGGTCCACACAAATCCATGTGTGATTCGTTCATTTGTTTTTCAATATAAAACAAAAAATAAGAAAATGAAAAAACAACAGTTTTCTTCATTATTTGTCTCCAAAACCAAAATGAAAAAACAGATAATGATTCATTTTTTCAGTTTTCGATTTTGTGTTTAAATGAAGAATGGAAAAAACGGATAACGGCCGTTTCCTGTTTACGTGACTCCTGTTACTGCGGTGCCGGAATTTTGCACCGCGTACGGACTGAACCAGGACTGATCCAGGTCCGGGACCAGATCGGGACCAGAGCGGGACTGAGACTGAGACCAGAACGAGACTGAGACCAGACAGGGACCAGAGCGGGACCAGAGGGGACTCCGAGCTTTATCTCCGAGCCTCCGCAGGGTCCGAGCCTCAGCTTCGAGCTCCGACCCTGTTGTGGGCTCTGAGCCTCTGGCCTGGTCTCGGTCTCAGTCCCGGTCTGTTGCCAGTCTGGTCCCGGACCTGGATCAGTCCTGGTTCAGTCTGTACGGGGTGCAAAAGTCCAACATTGCAGTCACAGAAGTCACGTAAATGGGAAACAGTTGTTATCTGTTTTTTCCATTCTTCATTTAAACACAAAATCGAAAACTGAAAAAACTAATCATTATCCGTTTTTTCATTTTGGTTTTGGAGACAAATAATGAAGAAAACTGTTGTTTCTTCGTTTTCTTATTTTTGGTTTTATATTGAAGAACGAATGAACGAATGATACACGGATTCACACAGGTGTACAAAAGGTCAAAACAGGTGTACACTTGGCTGTACTGTATCTGGTGATATGAAATGTGTTTAAGTACTTCAACAAATATATTTAAAAAAAATGTCTTTATGAATATAGTTTTCAGAACATGCATATATCAGATGTTGAATGTAGTTTTTGTTTTTGATTTTTTATCTGACCAGGTAAACTCTCATTTTCAGTGAGCTGTTATAAACCTGTAAATGAGTTGAATCACATTTAAACGTCCGGGTCCAGTCAAGTGGTAACGGAGGGAAACAGGGACAGATTTTTGACATTCAAATGTCTCTTATTCAGAAACTAGAGGGACTATTGAAATAAGTAAAGTATCAGAATGTAGGAAAGAGTTACACTCCAACAGGGTCAAGTTAAACCTGTGATATTCTTTCAAGTTCAAGACAAAAAATAAAAAAACTCATGTCGGTAACGGAGGGAATGAAATATGCAGCACTTTTTGGGCAATAAATCCAAACAGTGATAACTCTTGGTTCTCACTTCCATATCCTTAACAAACTGGTTTGAATATTTGCTTCATATAGTTTTCTACCATATGGTACAAGATTAGGTTGAAAAACCTCTTACTTTTTGACTCATGAGATTTTTTATTAAGAAAGGTCATGGTAACGGAGGGAAAATTGTGCAAACAAGTAGAAGGTGCAGGATTTTGTATAATTTGTCGCTTTTTTCTTCCGAATACTTTAATATTACTTCAAAATCAAAGGAAACTATTTCTAGAAAATATGTCAGTCCTTCCAAGCTAATTTTTATAATTTTAAATACTTTTTTTTTTGAAAAATCATGTACCTTCATCAACAGTTCAAAGATGGAATAACACAAGATATGATGAAATACATCCATTTATTTACAGGATTTGCAGGTCTTTGAAATTTGGGAAATAATTTTTGTTCCATGTTTCATACATGGTCTGTTTAAAACGTATGGAACTTTAGAACCAAAAATGGAACAGAAAAAAGGTCAACAGTTTCATAAACTAGAGTACATATGTATCTGTTCAATACATTTTTATATCAGATGCATTAACTTGAATTTTTGGCCTTGTTGTTTACTTCTGCTTGACTGGACCCATATAAACATGAAGTGTTCAGAGTCTAAGGTTTCCAGAGATACAAATATGTTTGTGTTTCAATTCAGTTCATGAGTGTGAACATCATTTATAATCACTCGTGGAAGTGTGTTTTCTTGTATGCAGTTGTGCTCTATGTTCAGCCCTAGTCATATATGTACGGGTTGTTCCTAGTCGACCTCCAAGAGGGAAAGAGATAAAGCACTGCAGGATACACTGCCCCAACCACAGACACGTTCCCTCGTGAATATTATAGAGCCGAGCCTTCTGAGTAGGTGCACATGTAGTGGTGGAATGGAAACACACACAAATTGCGCAAACTCCCTGCAGTGAACAGAACGTCCCATACCCCAACAGCTCAGCATGAACACATGTACCATTACACCTCTACTGTTCATACAAATAGACAGGGGTCAGCCTCATCATCAGACGAGCCTCTAGTCAGAAAATCCATGTTCAGGTAGTGTTACAAATTGTTACAAATTAAATTTATTTCAAGTTTTAAATATTTTAAAAAGTAAATATTAAAAGTAATAAATATATTAAACATTAAAATACAGCAAAAATGTTTGAGGAAATAATGATTTGGGTGGAAATGGCGTCTTAAGTGTAACAGGGTTAATAATTGTCTGATTTTCAGGCAACAACTTGCAAAATGTTCAGTAATTCGAGCTCTACAACCTTCATTTTGAATTTTATTTTAAATCTTTTTCTTTTAATATAGCATTGGTAGGTCTGTAAACCAACAAATGAAGTAATGTCGGTCTTAGCTAATGCTGTTATGCATGATTATGTGTTTTCCTTTCAATATCTCTAAAAAATTTGATGTTGCAGCCATTTTTAATTGGTAAACATCCAAAAGTTTACTAATTCTTCCCTGATATCCAGGGATTATTCCCTGTTGTTTTCATCAAATATACATTCAATTGTTCAAGAGAAATGTTGCTGACAAACCAATATAAGAGGGAATGATTTTCTGACTAGTGGGCTTTCTGACTAGTGGGCTTTCTGACTAGTGGGCTTTCTGACTAGGGGGCTTTCTAACTAGGGGGCCTTCTGACTAGTGGGCTTTCTGACTAGGGGGCTTTCTGACTAATGGGCCTTTCTGACTAGGGGGCTTTCTGACTAGGGGGCCTTCTGACTAGGGGTCTTTCTGACTAGGGGGCCTTCTGACTATTGGGCTTTCTGACTGGGGGCTTTCTGACTAGGGGGCTTTCTGACTCGGGGGCCTTCTGACTAGTGGGCTTTCTGACTAGGGGGCTTTCTGACTAATGGGCCTTCTGACTAGGGCGCTTTCTGACTACGGGGCCTTCTGACTAGGGGGCTTTCTGACTAGGGGGCCTTCTGACTAATGGGCCTTCTGACTAGGGGGCTTTCTGACTAGTGGGCCTTCTAACTAGGGGGCTTTCTGACTAGGGGGCCTTCCGACTAGTGGACCTTCTCACTACAGGGCCTTCTGACTAGTGGGCCTTCTGACTATTGGGCTTTCTGACGAGGGGGCCTTCTGGTGATAAGGGTGTAACCGAAGAACTGACTTATACTGACTAAACTACAATGTGTGCTGTTAAACAAGTCCCTCTGAAATAACATTACTGTCCAAGTTAGCCAATTTTTCAGTCAGTCACTCTCACCTTTTTGTTGAAAACCAAACTCCTAAACAGGATCATGAACTTCCAGACTCACAGACTTCTGAAAATGTGCTGTTTATCCTAAAACTCTTTGACAGTGCTGTGTGTATTGTGCCTCCATGGTAACTGCTGAACATTTCACCATCGAGATACATGTAGAACACCCTCAGTCTGTCACTGCAAAGTATCAGTTATTTTATAAATTTCCATAGACTAAATGTCATATTTGTTTCCAGGCCATGTTCCTGAGCTATGGGCCCAAGTTCAAATCTCAGACTGTGGTGGAACCATTTTCCAACATCGAGCTGTATAACCTCATGTGTGGTACGTTTGAACGCTCCTCTCTATTGCAGTATTTTAGATTCTCGTGACATCAGCTCACTACAGAGTCCCTCTAGTTTAACCTGAGCTGAGACAGGTTTGCTGTGCATCTGTCAGACTGCAGATTTGTTGACATGGTTTATCTACATGAAACAAAAACTGACACAAAATTCAGTCTTCTCTGTCCGTTTGTTTGTGAAATCCTTCAGGCAGGATCCATTGCAAAGAAGAAATTCTATTTTGTCAACTGGATAAAAGGTTTTGACTGAATGTTTCACAGCAGCTTCTTCAGTAGTGGTGAGATTGCTGGTGGACACTATCTCATATCTGCCTGAAACTACTCTGAAACAAATACACCTAACAAACAGAACCTGTTAACCAGTGGGTGTGTTAGTTTCAGATTACAGTGTGGTTAACTCCAACACTCAGGCAGATATGAGGCAGTGTCCACCAGCGTCAGACCACACATGAAGAAGCAGCTTGGGTGAAATGTGAAATGTATTTGATCAAAAAACTTTTATCCAATTGACAGATTTGAATTTCTCCTTTGCTTTCTCACAATAAATAAAATAAAGTCAAATTATTTTCCCACATTAACTTCTCAAAGTGAAACCATTATTCATCCCCAAAGACATGAATGTTTCAGCTGAAAGGACTTTAAGTCATAAGATTAATATGACAAGTTTGTGGAACCAAACAAATAATGAGAAAGACAAACATCTGTGGATCAGAAGGTTGGAGAGTTCTTTAAAAACTCTAAATCTCCCACAGAGTTCTATAGACGCCTGCTCCATCTGAAACTATGACATCATTCAATTCCAGAGTGTGAACACGACCTTTTCCACACACTCAGGGATGAGTCCATCCAGGTTTTCCAGTTTCTGCTCCAGTATCAAACCTGTGTCTTTCTGCTGAGTCTGAAAAAAGCATTTATTATTTCAAAATTGATGGAACTGCTGTGTCATGACACTATGATTTGTTTCTGATTGTGTGGAATCCCAGGAGGAAATCTTTCTGTATTTGTCACAGACCCATATCAGCCGCTGGTACAGAGATGAGTCTGGATTTGTCCAGGCAACAGTAGAGCTGCACTCTACAGTTTAAAGTAGACTACCTGCCTGAGGGGAGGAGTATTTGAGTAACTTTAAATCATTAGATCATTATCGGTAGAGTACTTTTCCAGCAGCATGTTTTTACTGCTATACACGAGTCATATTTTTATTGAAGTAACAGCACTTTTACTGGATTAAATATATAGTATAATATATATTGTGCAGTGTAACAGTACTCTTACTTGAGTAATATATTGTACAGGGTAACAGTATTTTTACTTGAGTAATCCTGTTGGAGATAGTTTGGACTGTAGACTGAGCTGTGCTGGGACACTTCATCCAAACATTCCTGCGGTCAGAGAGTGAGAGGACGCTGGAGTAGATTTGTGGATAGATTTGATGTTCTTTCTTGTCTGTGTGTGTGTACACACTTGGACAGGGAGGTCATGAACTGAACCTACAGCAGCTGGGCCACAAGTAACAGCGTTACCATGGTGCTCCCAAGGACCCCTGAGCTGCCTATACAATGCCTGAACTAAATGAAGTTACTCAACTAAGTTGTACCAGAGAATGTGTAACATTGTAACAGTATTGTTACTCGAGTAATGTATAGTACAGTGTAACAGTATTGTTACTCGAGTAATGTATAGTACAGTGTAACAGTATTCTTACTCGAGTAATGTATAGTACAGTGTAACAGTATTCTTACTCGAGTAATGTATAGTACAGTGTAACAGTATTCTTACTCGAGTAATGTATAGTACAGTGTAACAGTATTCTTACTCGAGTAATGTATAGTACAGTGTAACAGTATTCTTACTCGAGTAATGTATAGTACAGTGTAACAGTATTCTTACTCGAGTAATGTATAGTACAGTGTAACAGTATTCTTACTCGAGTAATGTATAGTACAGTGTAACAGTATTCTTACTCGAGTATGTACAGTAGTACAGTGTAACAGTATTCTTACTCGAGTAATGTGTAGTACAGTGTAACAGTATTCTTACTCGAGTAATGTGTAGTACAGTGTAACAGTATTCTTACTCGAGTAATGTATAGTACAGTGTAACAGTATTCTTACTCGAGTAATGTATAGTACAGTGTAACAGTATTCTTACTCGAGTAATGTATAGTACAGTGTAACAGTATTCTTACTCGAGTAATGTGTAGTACAGTGTAACAGTATTCTTACTCGAGTAATGTATAGTACAGTGTAACAGTATTCTTACTCGAGTAATGTGTAGTACAGTGTAACAATACTCTTTGTACATTTGTGTTTCTTTCAGCTCCTTCGCGTCTGATTCAGTTTGTCTCATGTTTGTGTTTGTTCTTTGAAAATAACAGATTTTGTGCATTATTTATTTATTTTTTATTTTATTTTATTAATAATAATAATACATTCACTTGAAATTATAAATGAGATGTTTTGTCCTTCAGTTAAACTTTAAGTTCCTCTTACTTGAGTAGACACATAGTACATACAGGATACATGATGTGTTTTAAATCTTATGTTATAATTTGGACATTTTAAATCATTGTTTTGATCTAAAACTACTTAATAAAAGAAACAAGTGCTCTGACCTCCATGTTAGAAAACAGTGGTGTCCAGTGGCAGCTGACATGGCCGTAAATATCAATGACAACAAAGTGTCTCATGCTGTGTGCCCTTCGTCTGGACAGCTGCACCTCACACTAGAGCAGAACATTTAAAGAGAAAAAAAGAGTACCAAAAAGAGGATGTGACACTGTCAAATCCTACATGTATCAGTTTGAGAAATTAAAGAAGGAAGTGCGTACGTCTCTGCAGGCGTGGAGGGGAAAACGAGAGTAGATTGGCAAAATGGCATTTTGAAAATAAACGATTAAAGACGACTCAAACATGCACCAGTCACTCCAGATACAACTTCAGAGGGTCAGTGAGAAGAAACTACTTTAACATGATTCTGAAGTTCTGAAAAGTGAATAGGTCTTGGATTATTTTAAAATGCAGATATTTCCCTTGACTCACTTTCCCGGCACTGTTTTTTTTTCCCTGTTTCAAAAAAAACTCTGAAGTATAATTACCTGAAATATTTCCTCTAAGACTCTTCTAAATCTAAATAATACCCAGTTCCAGATGTTCCCTCAGAAAGTGAAGTCATGTCTGAGGAGACATGAGAATAAAACAGTGGGAGATGTGGAGAGCAGGGCATTTTTACAGTCATAAAAACCTGAAACACAGAGCTAGTTTGTTTTAAAGAGCAGTGGCTACAGTAAAGTTCATCCTCACTCACGTTATGCTTTCAGAGCATCCTAATGATTCACCACAAACCGTTTAGAACTGTTTTTTGCCACACACAGACACTAGAGCGATGTTTTGCCTTCACTATGAAGCTAACAACTAGAATACTAATTGAACACTTCCTGATTCTCAGATATTAAAACATGATGTGGCTGAAACAAGACACATTTTGCTCAAATACATGGTTAAAAAAAAACAAAAAAACAATTTACAGGGACTTTCATTTGAATTAATTTCATTCCTAAGGGTCGCTCAAATGTACCATGTTCTAATCATGTTCCTCCTCAAAAACAGACCTGGACTTGTGTTTTGTTTCATTCCCACATGTTTGAATAATCCTTTAGTCTTAGTCTGTCTACATCTCCAAAGCTCAAAATGCTGATGATGTCATGAAGCAGCAGTTTTCACGTGAACAGCTCCTTTACCTTTAGTTCAATAGAGATCGGCACATCCAGAGCTGAAATGATCCAAGTGATTCTAGTGAAGGTGTGTGGAGTTTAAAAACACAGTGGAGCACTTCCTGTATTACCACATGACATCACAAGGTGGAACAGAGCGTGTTCAGTTCGAGAGAAGCCTAAATGTGCAGGGTTTGTGTGTTAAACATGTGTGAATGAAACAAAACACAACTCCAGGTCTGTGATGAAGAAACTAAAACTAACTCCTCGTTGATGTTGCTCCTCAGACGTGTTGGAGATCACTCCGGCTGAGAACAACGGGACCCACGGCGCTCTGAACCACCTGCAGAGGAAACCCTTCTTCAACCCGCCCTTCCCCCCAGAACTGAGTCCTGCTCTGAACTGTCCCCTGACCGGCCTGGACCCCCCCGGACCCCTGGGCTGCTCCTGCGACCTGCTGGTACCAGACTGACCAGGACTGACCAGGACTGAACCAGGACTGAACCAGGATTAAACAAGGACTAGACCACGATTAAACAAGGACTAGACCAGGACTAGACCAGGATTAAACAAGGACTAGACCAGGACTAAATCAGGACTCTCCTGAGCCCTATTCCAGCCCTCTTTATAAACCTTCTTTATGGTTAGCAGTACGAGCCTCCGCCCACAAGCCTACATCACCCATGCTCCCACACGACAGTTCTCCAGAAATACACAAAAACATGACACAAAACTGTACAATGCAACAAACGTAATGTGATGTGCAGGAGTTTCATTAGTGGGTGGCACACTGAGCGCTCAAAAACTAAAGAGAAACTTCACATTGTTTTGGGCGAATGTCACATTTTCACAACAACAACAGAACAATAAAAGGAACCACAGTGATCTAAAGATCTTACATGTCACAGTCAGTGTTGGGAAGGTGACTTTTAAAATGTAATCCCCTACAGATTACAGATTACATACCCCAAAATGTAGTTTGTAACGTAATCCATTAAGTTACTGAAGGTGAGTAATGTAATCTGATTACTTTGGATTACTTGATTTGCTGTAGAGAAACAAAGACGAGAAAATCTTCACATAAGAAGTTTTGTCTGATAAAAGAAAATAAAAAGCCCAGACTTTACTGAACCAAATTAAAAAATATTATTGATAGAAGATGAAGAAACAGTCCGCGCGGCACGGTTTAGTCCTGTTAAATCCTGTTTTAGTCCTGGTTTAGACCTGGTTTGGTTCTGGTTTAGTCCTGTTTTAGTCCTGGTTTAGACCTGGTTTGGTTCTGGTTTAGTCCTGTTTTAGACCTGATTTAGACCTGGTTTAGACCTGGTTTAGTCCTGGTTTTAGTCCTGGTTTAGACCTGTTTTAGACCTGGTTTAGACCTGGTTTAGACCTAGTTTAGACCTGGTTTAGTCGTGGTTTTAGTCCTGGTTTAGCCCAACATGTGAAAACAGGTAAATACCTCCATTTAATCCATTTATTTCAACAAAGTAACTGTAATCCAATTACCACTCACTGAAACAGTAACTGTAACTGAATACAGTTACTCATAATTTGTACTCTGATTACATAACTCCGGTACATGTAATCTGTTACTCCCCAACACTGGTTACAGTTAAAAGTAAACTAATCGTGTGTAAAGAGTCCCTCTCTCCACATCTGGGATCAGACTCAAGTTTAGTTTTGGAACATTTGGACTGTCTGCTCTTTGCTATTTGTGGTCAGAACATCTGCAAAACCTTTTCCATTTCTAAAGAACAGAAGATTTCCTGTAAATTGGAGGACTAATGTCAACATTCCACCTGAGCACTGAGTCTGAGTACTGTGTTTTTGTCTGTGGAGCTTTGATTTTTACCCCATAATAATTAAATCCTCAACACAGACTCAGAAACAAATTCTCCTTTATCAGTGTGGCTTGTGGCTGTAGCTGTAGTTTATTTTAGTTTTCGGTCAGGCTGCTTTAGACTCAGCAGGAATAGAAGACACTTTGTAGAATCTCAGCACTTTGCAGATGTAAAACTGAGCCCTTTTTAATCCCACACACATAATCACTTTACACACACGTGACAAAACAACTACAGCACTTTATGTTGAATTTGGCACATTATTACACCATAAAATCAATTCTTTTTAAAATGATTGTTTAAATAAAGTTAATGGATCTGAAGGACACACATCAGAAGAACAGTTAAAGCTCCACTGTGGGATGTTTCTCCATCTGTGTCATAGAACTACCACCTCCAACACACACCTACTGTACCATCAATCCAACAGGTCTAAACCAGGACTAAACCAGGTCTAAACCAGGACTAAACCAGGTCTAAACCAGGTCTAAACCAGGTCTAAACCAGGACTAAACCAGGTCTAAACCAGGTCTAAACCAGGACTAAACCAGGTCTAAAACCAGGTCTAAAACAAGGACTAAACCAGGACTAAACCAGGACTAAACAAGGTCTAAACCAGGTCTAAACCAGGTCTAAACCAGGTCTAAACCAGGACTAAACCAGGTCTAAACCAGGTCTAAAACCAGGTCTAAACCAGGACTAAACCAGGTCTAAACCAGGTCTAAACCAGGTCTAAACCAGGTCTAAACCAGGTCTAAACCAGGTCTAAACCCTAAACCAGGTCTAAACCAGGTCTAAAACCTCTAAACCAGGACTAAACCAGGTCTAAACCAGGTCTAAACCAGGTCTAAACCAGGTCTAAACCAGGACTAAACCAGGTCTAAACCAGGTCTAAACCAGGACTAAACCAGGTCTAAACCAGGTCTAAACCAGGACTAAACCAGGTCTGAACCAGGTCTAAACCAGGACTAAACCAGGTCTGAACCAGGTCTAAACCAGGACTAAACCAGGGTCTAAACCAGGTCTAAACCCTAAACCAGGACTAAACCAGGTCTGAACCAGGA